CACGAGTGTAAACAGAGGTGAGTTTTATAAAGTTCACGAGTGTAAACAGAGGTGAGTTTTATAAAGTCCACGAGTGTAAACAGAGGTGAGTTTTATAAAATTCACGAGTGTAAACAGAGGTGAGTTTTATAAAGTTCACGAGTGTAAACAGAGGTGAGTTTTATAAAGTTCACGAGTGTAAACAGAGTGTGGTTTATAAAGTTCACGAGTGTAAACAGAGGTGAGTTTTATAAAGTTCACGAGTGTAAACAGAGGTGAGTTTTATAAAAGTTCACGAGTGTAAAACAGAGGTGAGTTTTTATAAAGTTCACGAGTGTAAACAGAGGTGAGTTTTATAAAGTCCACGAGTGTAAACAGAGGTGAGTTTTATAAAGTTCACGAGTGTAAACAGAGGTGAGTTTTTATAAAGTTCACGAGTGTAAACAGAGGTGAGTTTTTTATAAAGTTCACGAGTGTAAACAGAGGTGAGTTTTATAAAATTCACGAGTGTAAACAGAGGTGAGTTTATAAAGTTCACGAGTGTAAACAGAGGTGAGTTTTATAAAGTTCACGAGTGTAAACAGAGGTGAGTTTTATAAAGTTCACGAGTGTAAACTGAGGTGAGTCTGGGACAAAATCACAGTAATTAGAATAAAAACGACCTGAATCTGTTTAATTTCTGTTTTCCAGTGAACCAATGATGAGAGACAATCTGTTTGAACTCGTCACCAGCTACAGGACCTTCTACGTCCAGGTCTGACCCTCTGACCCTCACCTCTTCTGACCCTCTGACCCTCTGTTCTTCTGTTCTTCTGACCCTCTGTTCTTCTGACCCTCTGTTCTTCTGACCTTCTGTACTTCTGACCTTCTGTTCTTCTGACCCTCTGTTACTTCTGACCCTCTGTTCTTCTGACCTTCTGTACTTCTGACCTTCTGTTCTTCTGACCCTCTGTTCTTCTGACCCTCTGTTCTTCTGACCTTCTGTTCTTCTGACCCTCTGTTCTTCTGACCCTCTGTTTCTTTCTTCTGACCCTCTGTTCTTCTGACCTTCTGTTCTTCTGACCTCTTCTGACCCTCTGTTCTTCTGACCCTCTGTACTTCTGACCCTCTGTTCTTCTGACCCTCTGTTCTTCTGACCCGTGTTCTTCTGACCCTCTGTTCTTCTGACCTTCTGTTCTTCTGACCCTCTGTTCTTCTGACCTTCTGTACTTCTGACCCTCTGTACTTCTGACCCTCTGTTCTTCTTGTTCGTCTGACCCTCTGTTCTTCTGACCCTCTGTTCTTCTGACCCTCTGTTCTTCTGACCCTCTGTTCTTCTGACCCTTCTGACCTTCTGTACTTCTGACCCTCTGTTCTTCTGACCCTCTGTTCTTCTGACCCTCTGTTCTTCTGACCCTCTCTTCTCTGTGTTTCAGGCGGACAGTCCTGAGGAGATGCACAGTTGGATTAAAGCCATTTCTGGGGCGATTGTGGCTCAGCGAGGACCGGGACGATTCTCCAGCTCTGTAGGTGGCGCTCTTGTCCACATGGGGGTTTACGGCTCCTTCACTCTGACTCTGACTCTGCTGTGTTTTTACTCTTCGTTTTTTTTAATTTATTGATGGTGAAGTTTGGTTTTCAGATCCGCCAGGCGCGGCGTCTGTCCACTCCGTGTTTGGAGCGGTACACTCCCTTCTGCAGCCTCCTCTCCACGTATGTCCCTCCACAATAAGAGCCTGCAAATGAAACCCCTTCACAATAAGAGCTTAACCTCACTTCCGTAACATCATCTCTGTATGCCCCTTCAAAATAAGAGCGTAACCTCACCTTTTCAAATAAAACCCCTTCAAAATAAAACTCATGTCCATCATAACCCGCTCCACGTCACCACCATCGCAAAATAACTCTCAAAGAACTTTTCTTTACACTGCTGCTCTTTTCTGCCCCGTAGAAAGTGGAATTGACTCTTCCACATTTCCTGAGGGTGTGACGCTAACTGGAGGTGCTGCTCTGTCTGGAGCTCCGTCACTCGATTTAGTCACTCTCACATTTTTCTGAAAATCAAACTCGTAAAACGGGACCATAAACGCTCGGACTGACCACAGGCTCCTGAAACGTGTTCTTTAAATCCATCTTGGGTTTTTCTTGAGTTTTTAGACAATCTTAACACTAATGATAATGTGTGCGTTGCGTCGTCATGGTAACTGCTGAACATTTCACCAAAGAGATACATGTGGAACCCCCCCGTGTAGCTCCTTTCAGACACAATACAAGTTAAAAGTGAATTTGTTAAAAAGCACGTGTAACTACAGTCAAAGTCGAGATTCGAACTCACAACCTCAGAGTCACAGGCCCCGTTCACCGTTCACCGATCCTCTGATGTGTGTCTGTCACCACAAAACACTAAGACACACAATATGTGTCCATTCACATAAACGTGTGTCTGTGTGCACCACCTGCACACGTATAATGTGTGAAAAGTTTCACATGAACCAACAACACGACACAAACACAGAGAGAACACCCCTCTGACACAGAGAGAACACCCCTCTGTCACAGAGAGAACACCCCTCTGTCACAGAGAGAGAACACCCCTCTGTCACAGACACAGAGAGAACACCCCTCTGTCACACAGAGAGAACACCCCTCTGACACAGAGAGAACACCCCTCTGTACACAGAGAGAACACCCTCTGACACAGAGAGAAAACACCCCTCTGTCACAGAGAGAACACCTCTGACACAGAGAGAACACCCCTCTCACAGAGAGACACAGAGAGAACACCCCTCTGACACAGAGAGAACACCCCTCTGACACACCCTCACAGAGAGAACACCCCTCTGTCACAGAGAGAACACCCCTCTCACAGAGAGAACACCCCTCTGACACAGAGAGAACACACCCTCTGTCACAGAGAGAACACCCCTCTGACACAGAGAGAACACCCCTCTGTCACAGAGAGAACACCCCTCTGACACACAGAGAGAGAAACACCCCTCTGACACAGAGAGAACACCCCTCTGTCACAGAGAGAACACCCTCTGTCACAGAGAGAGAACACCCCTCTGTCACACAGAGAGAACACCCCTCTGACACGAGAGACACCCCTCTGTCACAGAGAGAACACCCCTCTGACACAGAGAGAACACCCCTCTGTCACAGAGAGAACACACCCCTCTGACACACAGTCACAGAGAGAACACCCCTCTGACACAGAGAGAACACCCCTCTCTGTCACAGAGAGAACACCCCTCTGACACACAGAGAGAACACCCCTCTGTCTGACACAGAGAGAACACCCCTCAGAGAGAACACCCCTCTCACAGAGAGAACACCCCTCTGACACAGACACAGAGAGACAGACACACACCCCTCTGACACAGAGAGAACACCCTCTCTGACACAGAGAGAACACCCCTCTGACACACAGAGAGAACACCCCTCTGACACAGAGAGAACACCCCTCTGTCACAGAGAGAACACCCCTCTGTCACAGAGAGAAACACCCCTCTGACACACAGAGAGAACACACAGAGAGAACACCCCTCTGACACAGAGAGAACACACAGAGAGAACACCCCTCTGTCACAGAGAGAACACCCCTCTGACACAGACCCCTCTGAGAACCCCCTCTGACACAGAGAGAACACCCCTCTGTCACACAGAGAGAACACCCCTCTGACACACAGAGAGAACACCCCTCTGACACAGAGAGAACACCCCTCTGTCACAGAGAGAACACCCCTCTGACACACAGAGAGAACACCCCTCTGTCACAGAGAGAACACCCCTCTGTCACACAGAGAGAGAACACCCCTCTGACACAGGAGAACACTCATATTCCACTGAGTCCAACACAAACTGAACCACATCAGACACAAGAAACAACAGTTTTTAGTGGTTTGAAGTTTTGTTTCTGTAAAACTTAAACAAATCTGCTCAAAACTGTGTGAAAGGAAGACTTGCAGACACAGAAACGACGAGTCTGGACGCAGATCGTTTCTGATTCAGTGATTCTTTTCAGTGTAAACGTGACCAGAGACACAGCAGATCTGTCCTCACAAACACAGAGTCGCAGAGTCGCAGAGTCACAGAGTCACAGAGTCGCAGAGTCACCGAGTCACCGAGTCCTCGAGTCCTCGAGTCCTCGAGTCCTCGACTTCTTCACTGATCTTTGCTTTTATTTGTAACAGCAGCTCTGACGTTGTCATTATTAACCTTTCTGTGTTCTAACCCAACGTGTGCTTTTTCTCTCACTCCTCCCTCCCCTCTAACCCTCTCCTTCCCTCTTCCTCTCTCTTTATCTCCTTCTCTCTTCCTCTCTCCTCTCTCTCTTCTCCCTCCCTTCCTTCCTGTCTCCCTCCTCTGTTCTTCCCTCTTTTCCCTCTGTTCCTCCTCTGTTTTTCCTCTTTCCTCTCTCCCTTTCTCTGGTTCTTCCCTCTGTTCTTCCCTCTCTCCTCCCTCTTTCCTCTCCTCTTTCAGAGAGTGCGGTACGACGGTGAAGTTATAACCTTCACAAACTGAGCCCCGCCCACCGCAGCTCCTCCACCAATCACAGCCCTTCTTTATGAATTCTCTTCCTGTTTCCGGGCAGACGCACCAGCACTTTTTAGTACGTTTAAACTCAGATTATAACACAACATTTATTTCAACCACATGATTAAATAAACATCCTATAATTTTGTTTTTATTACTCTGAAAAACACACGTCCTGACTGTGAGCGGCTCGCCTCTCCACAGACCTGACTCTCCTCCTGCTTGTTTCCATGGAAATGTTGTTTTTTGGCTATAATCTTCCATAGTATGGCATAAAACGTCACAATCTCTCTGGAGAATGTTCCAAAGTATGGTTTTAATGTTCTGTTTCCGTGGAATCAAGCAGGTGACGTGTCAGCTCTAGAAAGTTGCGCAGTGTGGCTTTAATTTTCCCTGATTATTGTAGTTGAGCTCTAATAATCTGAGCCTTTTGGATAAACACTCTTCAGACTTCATCCTTCATCTCATTAACATCATGAATCACGTTTTTAACTTCAGTTCTTCTGCCTCCATTTCCCACAATCCTCGGCTGTGTGACCTCACTTCCTGTCTAACCCTGTACTTCCTGTTTCTCTCAGGACTCTGACTCCGCCTCCATGTTCTACCTTCAACTCCAACCCCCAGAATCCCCTGCTCCTGACCCCGCCCCCGTCGGACCCGGGTCACTTCCTGGGGCTGTTACCGTGGAGACCGCGCTGCCGCCTGTCGCTCCCGGAGACGATCCCCTCGGCGACGAGCGAGTGACGGAGCAGTCGCCGTGGAAACGCCGCAGCCGCGAGGAGGTGGAGCTGCTCCAGGGCGACCTCCAGGTGACGCTCATCTGAGGACGCACGGGAGGGCATCCGGGTTAAACCCGTCAGCCCGAGGGCGCCGGGAGGGCATCCGGGTTACACGGTTCTGCTGTTCACTGGAGGGAGGGCATCTGGGGCACATGAGGTCGTCCTGGTGTTTGTAAAGTACTGACTTTTTCTGACGCAGGTGGAGGACGGTGGTGTCGTCTGAGCTCCCGTTATTTTACCAGCAAAACTCTTTAAAAAACTCTTTTGTTTTTGTCACGAGTTTCCTCAAAAAACTCCTTTAAAAAGCCACGAAACTCCTGAAGATTTACTCCTCCAGAGTGGGCGGGGCCTGGCAGGTTCGGTTTTGGTTCGGTCGCTTTATTCGTACCTGTAGGTAAATTTGTTTTACAGATTTGAGGCAGGTCCCACATTTCACTTTTCATTCCTCCACATTATGAAGAAAAACACAAATAAAAACACAGTTACAAAATAAAGTGTGAGAGCTCCAGAGCAGAACAGTTTGTCCCATAAACAATTAGTTCAATTCATCCATCACACTTGACTAAAATCACAATAAATATTAAATATATTAAAAACATACAATCTTTAGATGAATAGATTTATTCATAAATATGACAGCAGCTGGAAGCAGGTGGGGGCGGGGCTGAGAGGGGCTCCTCCTCACATTCCACCTGTAGACGCCCGGGTCTGCGCCCGGGTCTGCGCCCGGGTCTGCGCCCGGGTCTGCGCCCGGGCCGCGGGCCTGCGCCCGGGTCTGCGCCCGGGTCTGCGCCCGGGTCTGCGCCCGGGTCTGCGCCCGGGTCTGCGCTTGTAATAACCTGCGTCTGACTCAGAGTCCTGCACCTGTACACAACAGCGACACTCACATAGTTACTGAAACGGGCGGGTGGTGATCACACCACCGGGTCTCTAAAAATGGACCCGTGCAGGACTCTGATTGGACTGATCTGCGGCGTTAGTCCAACCTGGAAACTCAAATGTCGTGACCGTAGTTGATGGTGAAGAGGCCGATACAGACACGAGTTTGAACCAAACATCACATTTTGAACAAATCTGCACGAAAACATCAAAATAAAGTCAAAGACAGAGACACACTTCTATTTTAGACACATTTACACAGAGAATCAGGAGAAAACAAGTGATTTTAGTGTTTAGTGGCTCTTTAAAAATCACTAAACACAAACAAACTGGATTTATTTTGACGGTAACAGGAGCGACCTCGGGGAAAGAAGCCGCCTGTTATTAACGTTCTGATCTGGATTTAGGGACAAAATAGTGAAATAAAAACCCCAGGATCATGTAGAGCAGGTTAACACGAACATTTTAAGATCTAGATCAGGACTTTGACAGCAGCAGGTGCAGAGAGAGAGGAGACGTTTTTTCAATAGAAAGTGACCTGGAGCCAGAGTCAGTGGAGCCGGAGTTGCCCCCGTGCTCACTTCCTTGGATTTAACTGGAAAACTTTGGTGGTGTTTGTGTGTGAGCCCAGACTGCACCACCGGACGCCATCCTGATTTTTACCAAACTCAAACTCCAATCACCAGTTTTTATACATTTGAGGAAAAACCTGTTGTAGCTGGATTTTTTAAATGTTTTTTTCATTTTTATTTTAGTTTAAAAGTCCCATATTACACAAAATCTTCTCTCATGAGCTTTAAGTCGTGTTCTAATGTTCCTCGTCAAAAACAGAGCTGGAGTTTTGTTTGTTTGAGTAAATCTTTATTATTAGTCCGTCCACATCTCCAAAGCTCCAAAGGCTCTGTTCCACCTTGTGACATCACAAGGTGGAACAGAGCATTTTGAGCTCTGGAGATGTGGACGGACTAATAATAAAAGTGTGAATGAAACAAACAGAGCTGCGGGTCTGTTTTTGAGGAGCGTTCGATCCGTGTGACGTGAGCGTTTAAACCTCTGAGTCTCTGCTGGTTTCAAATGCAACTTCTCCACTGTGATGCAGATTTAATATTTAACCCTTTTATTTTTTATGTTTTTGTCTGAATATTTGTGTATTTTTTTGTGTAAACAGGGTTGGGACTGAAAATAATTTGATCTACATTTGACTTTTCTAAATATGTGTATCGTTTCTGAGAGATTCTGATTTTAGAATTTAATATTGTAAAAGTTTAAAAGGTTTAAAATACTGGAAATGACTTAGTCCTGGTTTAGTCCTGGTTTAGTCCCAGTTTGGACCTGGATTGGACCTGGTTTAGTCCTTTTTTAATCCTAGTTTAATCCTGGTTCAAAACTTTAGTCCCTAGTGTCTAGTTTGGCTCCCAGTTTAGTCCTGGTTTAGTACTGGTTTGGACCTGGTTTAGTCCTGTTTCAATCCTGGTTTAGTCCTGGTTTAGACCTTGTGTAGTCCTGGTTCAGTCCTGATTTAGTCCAGGTTTAGACCTTGTTTAGTCCTGGTTCAGTCCTGATTTAGTCCAGGTTTAGACCTTGTGTAGTCCTGGTTTAGACCTTGTTTAGTCCTGGTTCAGTCCTGATTTAGTCCAGGTTTAGACCTTGTGTAGTCCTGGTTTAGACCTTGTTTAGTCCTGGTTTAGTCCTGATTTAGTCCAGGTTTAGACCTTGTTTAGTCGTGGTTTAGATCTTGTATAGTAGTTTCCTGGTTTAGTCCTGGTTTAATGTCAGTGTTGATGTTTTCACTTTGGGACAAAATGACCTGAACTTTCTGTTTCTTGTATCACTCGACTCGTCCACCAGGAGGCGCCAAAACCAAACGGTTTGATCTTAAACACCTTTAAACCCGCGAGTGACAAATGATTTTAACCAAAGAAAAAAACACGAGGTTTTATGTGGACTTTTGTGTCTTTCTCTCACGTCCAAACCTGCCTGAAGACATTTTACACTCATCCATGCATGTCTGAGTCATCTAGTGATCTCTCCTGGGCCCTATTCAAACCCTCCCACACGACAATTTTCTATAAATCCACAAAAACACGACGCAAAACTGTGCACAGCGTCTCCACGAACCTGATGTGACGAGCTGCTCGGTGTGCTGTGATGGCGCTCTGAACGGGGAGCGACTTAGCACAGAGAGCAAAAAAAATAAATAAATAAAATAAAAAACCACAGTGATCTAAACATGTGAAACCCCCGGGGACGTCCCAGAGCCGCTCTTTAAACTGACCTGAGTTGCGTAACGAGATAATCGGGTGTTTGGGTGGATTGTTTTTCTCGGTTGTGGGTTTTGTTTTGTTTTAATTTTGTATTTTTCAGAATTTTTTTTGTGTTAATATTTCCGTTTAAAAGTAACATTTATTTGTTTGTGAAACTTGTGTCACAGAGAAAGTGCCTGTCCAGATGTTTAACACGTTTTGATGAAAAAAAAAACACAAAAAACAAAACACATGTAGTATTTATTAAAATGTTTTCAGAATAAGAGCCTCTGTTGTGTTTTTACATAAACCTGTGCTTTTATTTTGAAGGGAAATCACTTTAACTTGTTTCTTGCTTGTCGCCATGGAGATGTGATGTTCCAGAGTTTGGCTTTAAGCGTTTTTCTCTTGCATTTGTTTCTTCACAGCTGTTTTTTTATTCCGTCATCGTTACTCTGAGCCGTTTCCATGGAGACGGAGAGGTTAAAAGAAATACCGTGGAACATTTCGGGTAAAGCAAGAACATCTCAGAACAGGAGAGGTGAAGAGCAGATGGTGGATCTTACTCCAGAAAAGTCCCACAGTGAAGCTTTAAAGTGCAGACGACAGGTCAGACTCACAAACAAAAAAACAAATTTAACGTTATTAGAGTTAAGATTTGACTAAAACTCTGCGTAGAACTGGACGAGAGCGGCTCAGTCCATCGAGCTTTTGTCACTCACCTGAAGGTTGTCGGTTCAAATCCAGATCCACAGACGTGTAAAGGAAGTTCAGATATTGATTATGATTGATTACATTAAAATAGTAAGGATGTAGCGATGTCCAAATCTCTCGGTACGATGTTATCACGATATCCAAATCTCTCTGTACGATGTTATCACGATATCCAAATCTCTCTGTACGATGTTATCACGATATCCAAATCTCTCGATACGATATTGTCACGATATCCAAATCTCTCGATATGATGTTATCACGATATCCAAATCTCTCTGTACGATGTTATCACAATATCCAAATCTCTCTGTACGATGTTATCACGATATCCAAATCTCTCTGTACGATGTTATCACAATATCCAAATCTCTCTGTACGATGTTATCACGATATCCAAATCTCTCTGTACGATGTTATCACGATATCCAAATCTCTCGATACGATATTGTCACGATATCCAAATCTCCCGGTACAATATTATCACGATATCCAAAATCTCTCGGTACGATATTGTCACGATATCCAAATCTCCCGGTACATATTATCACGATATCCAAAATCTCTCTTTACGATATTATCACGATATCCAAATCTCTCGGTGCGATGTTATCACGATAAATCTAAATAAATCTCACGATATGGTATTTATTGCGATATTTTGAAGAGGCTGATATAAATGTAGATAGAACACTTTTTTTTTTTCTTTTTAAAATTCCTTGACAAGATTTTGGTGTGAATTATTTCCGTCATAATCCCAAGAATTCAAGTAAAAACATATTTCTTCATGTCGTCTGCGTTGAAATGAATCATGGGAAATGTAGTTCTCTAGGTTCATGAGCTGTTGCTTCTATAAAACCTGCATTTAAACAGAAGAACTTGTGATTTGAT